GGGTGACGGTCCTGGCTGCGCCGGCTCCCAGCTCCAGCGCAGCTCCGTGGTGCTCGGGTAGAAGCGATGGGTGAGGGCAGCAGCCCCCCTCCCTGGGGCTGTGGTGCCCCCCAAACCGGGTGGCCTGACCCGGGGTGAGGCAAACACACGGCCCCTCCTGGCTGAGCCCCTCTGCCCGGCCAGGAGGCGATGGGGTGCCTGGGGGGTTCCGGCCGGCCCTGGGTGCCGCGGGGGACCGGTGCCCAGCTGGGTGCTGGCGAGCGCGTGGGCTGCAGCCAACTGCCTCCTGTGGTCAGGTGCTTTTTATAAAATGAAGGGAAATAAAAAAGAGGAGGGAAAAAAAAATTAAAAAAAAAGAAAAGCCACCACTGTCTCCAAGAGCAATAACTCCCATTTCCTCCCCAGGCGCACAGGGGGATGGGAGGTGCAGGGCCGGCTTGCCTGCAGCCTGCCCGGACACTGCCCGGGCCCGGGGTGCCCATCTCCCCGGGACTGAGCCTTTTGCAAAGCCCCCCGCACGGCCCCATTGGGGTGGGTGACGCTGTGGAGGCTCCCTGGGGGTGCAGCGGGTCCCCACGCTGCCCCCGGGGCTCACCCCTCTAGCTGGGGAGCAGCTCTGGCTCCCGGAGGGGTTGCTGCAGGCTGGGCTTGCAGGGGCTTCGCCCGGGCACGGCCGGGTTTAACCCTTTGCCTCCTCTCCACGCCAGTCACAGCAGATCCTGGGGTGCCCATCGGGGCCGGGCGAGGAGGAGGGGGGGTGTTTGGACACTGCTCGACGGTGCCGTATGGCAGATACCGTCACGGTCCCGAGCTGCGCGTGGGAAATATTATGGTGGATCCGGGAATGCCCCCGTGCGATGGGAACGTGGGTCCTCGTGTGCAAGCAGGAGACGTGCACGGGCAACCTGGTGCTGAGCCTGCGGCTCTGGGGGCCCCAAGGGCTGCTCCAGCCCCTCGGCATGGGCTGTCCCCGTCCTGGTGTGTGCCCGATGTAGGGTCTGCAGCCCTGGGGCTGTGGGTGCCGGGGAAAGGGGTGTCCCCAGGCACTGGGGTGGCAGCGAGCACCCATCCCCAAAGCCACTGCGTTCCCTGTCCCGTTGCACAAGCCGCTGGCTGGCCGCTGGGGTTTCCCAGGCTGGCAGCCATGGCACCCGCTGGCACCCGGCCCGGTGCCCTCCTGGGGCAGCTCCTGCAGCATCCCTGGGGAGCAAGGGCCGACTGCTGCCTCGGCGCTGGCAGGAGCGCGGCGGGGCTGCTCCCTCTTCCCGGAAAGAGGAGCCGGGGCTGGGGCTGGGAACGTGCCGGGGGCTGGCTCTGCCGGCCCGGGGGCTCGCTGCTTTGGGGCTGACTGGATTTTGGGATGGGGAGAGCCTCTGTGGCCGGGATTCATTAGCCTGCTTCTGGTTTGCAGCCAGTGGGTGCAGAGTGCAGGATCCTGGGTGCAAAGTGACACCCTGGGGACACTGTCTGGGTCCCCTAGGGACCCCAGTTGGGGGCTGTTAGCCAGGAGGCAGGACCCGGCTGCGGGGAAGTGGCTTGGCAGATCTGCCCAGCTCCAGCAGCAGGTAACGGGCCTGTGTGAAAACAGCAGGGCGGGCAGGGAGTTCAGGAGCTCTGCTAATTAATCCTGAGCGGCCGCAGGTCCCCGCAAAACCAGCGGCTGCGCCGGTGCCAATCGGTGTATGGGCTGTGCACGGGCACAGGGCGGACAGTGCTGCGGGGCCGGTGCATGGGGCTCCCCCATCGCCGGTGGGGTCCGGGGAGCCCCCTTTCCCCATGCAGTTGGGTATGGATCCGTCCCTGGGAGCCGCCTGGGCATGGGATGGTGCCTGGTTTGCAGGGAGGGGGCTGCACCAGACCCTGACCCTCTCCCGCAGCCGCCCTTCCCACGCTTCCCCGGCCCGATTGCAGTGCGAGGGACCCTGGGCCGGCTATCCCTGGCCCCCCCCATCCTTGCTGCTGGGTCCCTGGGGTCCCCGATGACCCCCTTCCCCTCCCATGGGAAGATCTCAAGGGGAGATTAAAGGCCGGCGTTAAGGAAACCCGGCACATCTCACCCAGCTCCCCGGCGCTGCGATTTATCCTCCTCCCGGCACATTAACATCGTTAATATTTCAAGTGCTGCTGGCTGCCAGCGCCGGCCGCGATGGCGGGGGGCC